ACACTGTTGACATTTATCCGAGTGAATCGTTTAGGATACGACGAAGGAAATTATTATCTTTAAGAGTAAAATCAGCGTCAGTTTTAGCAGGAATCAAAAAGACCTTTTCACATTAGTCCTAGCTGTGCTTTGCTGAGCTCTTTGCAGGTGGGTGGCTGACTTCCTCCCTGACTGCAAGATATACGTCGAAATTGTTGGGTTCTCCTCTTCATCCCAAAATGTCAACTCTTACACAGCAATGGCCTATTTTCGTGTACCACCAATTCGATCCATACTGCTGATGACAGTACTCTACATGCAGGAACTCAGAGTGACAAGCCAGTCTCTCTAGCAGTTACTTTCCCTGTTACGAGAAACTTGGTTATCAATGCTTGTCTACGTAACAATCTGATAAGCAGATATGTTGAGTGATGCCATTATGGTGGAGAGCTCGACGAAACTTTTGTTTAAAATGTAGAAAGGCAAACGAATAAACGATCATATACGAATATATCACTGGACAACAAATTTTAGTTTTTTAATTGTATCTTGTGGGAAAAGTGCACTTCTTTGTTAATTTTGGGGCGCTGAATCCAAAAATGACAATGAAATAAAAAAATTAGTTGCGGTTTAGAAAAAAAACTTTTTATTTTTACGGATATATTAAAAAAAGTAACAAGATTCATATACTTATAAGAATCACTATATGCGCTGTCTTTTGGCTGTTCTTTTATGGATCGTTTCTGGAGCATCTCTACCAAGAGTCCAACAGTAGTCTGCAAGCATGGAAGGATTCAACTTTCCCTGGTACCTTTTTTCCATTGTTGAAATATCCTGATGAAAACGTTCGCCGTGCTCATCACTTACGGTTCCGCAATTGTCAGGAAAAAAGTCCAGGTGTGAGTGTAGGAACTGTATCTTAAGAGACATATTACAGCCCATCTTTTGATACGATGACAGCATATTTTTGACAAGGGTTTTATAGTTGTCAGCATTTCTATTTCCCAAGAAATTAGTGAACACCGGACGGAAATCATTCCAAGCAGTTTTTTCAATACCTGTTAAAGTGTTTTCAAACTGTGTATCTTTCAAAATATTTCGAATCTGTGGCCCAACAAAAATACCTTCTTTAACCTTTGCCTCACTTAGTCTTGGAAATTTCTGACGCAGGTATTGAAAAGCTGACCCATCTCTATCTAATGCCTTGACAAAGTTTTTCATTAGGCCCAACTCGATATGCAGTGGTGGTAATAAAATTTTTTTCGAATCTACTAATGGCATATGCTGTACATTTGTTTGACCTGGCTCTAGGAATTGACGAACAGGCCAGTTTTGTCTGGTGCAATGAAGTGCCTTTGCCCGACTGTCCCATTCACACAAAAAACAGCAAAACTTTGTGTAGCCTAGCTGCAGCCCAAGTAAAAGTGCAACAACTTTCAAATCGCCACAAATATGCCATTGGTGCTCATCGTATTTTATGCATGTCAATAGGTACTTCATATTGTCATATGATTCTTTCATGTGAACTGCATACCCTACAGGAATAGATGGTAAAATATTTCCAATATGCAACAACACTGCCTTTAAACTCATTGTTGAACTGTCTTATAAACAATCTCCATTCTTCTGGGTTATAGTTTATATTTAAAGCCGCCAGTAAGCCGTTAATGTTACTGCAGAAAACCAAGTTATTCTCCATATTGAAAAATGGTTCTAAGTCTTTGTGGCGTTTACGAAAAACACATACCGAAACATCGTCTTCTAACAAGTTCCACTGCTGCAGTCTTGATCCAAGTAACTCTGCCTTACACTTTGGAAGTTCTAAATCTCTTACAAGATCATTTAATTCTGACTGTGTTATTTTGTGCGGTTGGTGGCATGACGTACTCGGTAGAAAATCAGGATCTCTTAACGTTGATGGCATATCTTCTTCCTGACGAATCACTCGATCGCCATGATCTGATTCATTTTCTGATTCGCAAGTGTAGGATTCTGGGGGTTTTGGAATAGGATTTTCGTCACTGTGAGGCACAGGTCTCATCGCAAATGCTATGCTTGGGTAGTTAATAACAGATTTTTTTTTCTTGGACATACCTGTGGCTTGTCCAACACAAGGTACCACGCAAAAGTAACAATCATTAATATGATTTGTAGGCTCTCTCCAAACCATTGGGACAGCAAAGCGCATAGACCGTTTTTTGCCATTTAACCAGCTCATCAGACTTGAAGCACATGTATTACAGCAGATGTGGGGTGCCCACTGTTTGTCTTGATCACCTAGTTTACAACCGAAATAAAGCGGATATGCCTTTGTTATTAGTGGAGTAATAGACCGTCTCTGAGACGCAAAAGTCACATCACCACACACGTAACAAAACTGATCTGGATTGTTTACACACTTTCGAGACATCTTGCATGAACGCTGTCAGCCAACTGAGGAAAAAATGGCTAATATAGTGGATACCAAATAAAATCCGATGCACGTCATAGGTGATGTCATTCATAAAAATCATAGTTACCAACAGTTGACTACATTCAATGTGACATTTCTACTTGTGAGGTTGCCACTTCTCATTTGTTGACATCAGTTGCCATTGTCCTTTTCTCGTACTATTAGTTCTTTATTGTTTAGTTTAGAACAACAGTTACTGTGAAGTGGTGTAAAGTATCCAAAATGCCAAAACAACGTAACAGTCGGTGTAAAGAGCTCATATCATTGAATATAGACCAAAATCAGGTGTTTTTATTCAGAAAGGAATTTAATTTTACAACAAGTTTATTTATTTTTAATATAATGGTATTATAGTAAATGGTGGGTATATATAAACAATTTATTTTATTAAATTTATTTGCTTAAAAGCAAATGTGCAAATTCTGGCAACCGCGCACAGCTCCAGATCGATGACGTGCATCGGAGTTTATTTGGTATCCACTATATAAAACAATATAATGTACACGTATGTATAACGTAACACAATCATGCCGATTACATCATCTCTCCTTGCCGAATATAAAAATGTAGCACGTGCATTCTTGTGAATTACAGTATATTAACACTGTCACAGCAGGAACACATATAATTACCGTATCTCTAAAACTTGAACTAATATTGAAAAAATAAGTTTCATTCCGGTTTTTGCACATTAAAAATAGTAATGTTTTGTTGATTTTATTTAGGATATTTTTTGGCTGTTGATCAGTGTATATTATCACTAGAAAACTATTCTATTACATATCCGCATATGCCGGAAGCCAGGAGATTCCCGGTTATATTTTTTATATTTCTCATATCTGTTTAATTGGTGCAAGTGATATTGTGATAATTCCAACCAACTTGACATCCATATGCAAATAAACATAAAACCACAAGTGTAAGTAGTGTGTGGTGTTGCTGTTTTCTCTTCCATTTGTGATAGCTCGATTTAGTTTTATCAGAGAAACGTTAAAATAAACTATCATTTAAAACATTCATAACGCTACCCAATTTAGCACTATAACAACGCACAAAAATGTTTTGCAGAAATCCTAGAGAGACATTTAAAATTCGATAATTAAATAATTTTTGTGCCACGTTAATATTCAAAAGCAAATTAAATGACATCAAAAATAAAACTATTTAAGTAAGAAGCAGATCAGACCATACGTATAAATTATAAGAAAGATTAGAGAAACGCTGATAAAGCCCAGCAATAAAGACACAACAAACATTTTTAAAAAGATGAAAGTGGTGTATAGTATGTAGATCTTAACAGTCACAATTATATGCTTAAAAATACCCATCTTCCTTCCACAAAGCCGTGCATATGACATCTAGGGACAGAAATGATCCATTTTGACAACCTACTTTTGAACATTGATTCAGAATTTATTACTCTAAGTTCCAGAGTTAAACAATTGTACAATTTTGGGTAAAGATATATCCACGAACGTTGCATCAATGACTTTTCCGGCTTGGGTATGGTCGTCTGCAGAGTGTCATACCTATGAGCAATTTTACTGTGGTAGCTTTTGCATTTATAATAAAATAACATGATGCTGTGAGCAAATATTTGTCAAATATCTAAAAGCCCAGACCCTTGAGAAAAGATGTCAGAGGGATATAATCTACATAATCTCGTTGTTGCTGCTCCCCTAAATCCGATAATTCCATAAGACGGATGCGATTTTACAAGAGCATGATACGTCGTTTTTATGTTCAAAATACCTCCTATTTTTTAAATTTTGGTAACAGTGATCGGTTTTTTTCACAACGTACTCAATTTGCGCATCCAACTTCAAATTGTCAACCAGATATATACCGAGATATTTAATGTCAGTCTCCCGCTCATAATGCCATTATGCTTAACTATATGCTGGTAAATGACTCTTATAGCAAAGGTTACACAACTAGTTTACTGTCGGAGTATGATGATACAAACTTTTTGAATTTGTTTCCAATTTTGTCCTTTAAGGCACCCCAAGCAGAATCTTCATATATGATTACTGTGACATCATCAAAACCTAAGACTGTACCTCCGGTATCTATAGGTCGGGTTGAAAGACAGCATAAGCTGACACTCCACCTTTCCGTCACTAGTCCTCTTAAGCCAACTATTTTGTAATCATGTGACGAATAAAGGCCATTAATTTATTATTATTATTATTATTATAGAGTATATTTCGTTTATATATAAGTTGGACAATATGGGTCCAAGTACTGTTCCCTGTGGCACTCCACAGTCAACAGTTTTATATTCGCTGATGGCATTGTCTATTTTTATACACTGTGTAGATAACCAATCATAAGATGTAAGGGAGTTCACCTTATACCGCTATTCTCTAAAGTGACTAGAAGCTTGACAACTATAACGAGATAACGACGCACTTCTTCAGTACTTCATTGAGATGCTTATACTTACTTGTACTGGTCTTTTTACTCAACCACAATACGTTATACGTCTTTGCAAGTTATGGAATACTCTATAACATTTTGCTTAGTAAGTAATTATATTTAATAAATTAAGGTATACCTTATAAAGAAGGCCAGTGGTAAGCAAATATAGATAGAAATAATTCAAACATTATTTTTGCTCTCCAGAGAGTGAGTGAGTAGTGCAATCCTCTACAAGAGTGGCGCCGCTTCTGGTTATTTTACCCAGAATTAGCTGGTAGTTAAACTGAAATATTAACTATGCTGATCACCCTTTGCTTTATAAGCCTCTTCAAACCGCATTTTTTTATATTTATCCTCTTCGACCTTGATCATCTTTGCTAGTTTCTCGGCCTTCTTCGCGATTTTGCTCGATACAACTTCATTTTCCAAAAGAATGCTATGAAAATCTCTTTTGGGCAGCATATAAACCTTCGTTATCTCTATCGCGACCACGGTTGCAGCATATCTGTTGGAATTCTTTAGCATTCCTATTTCTCCGAAGTAGTGTCCATCGTGTAAATGACATAACTAAAAATGGACATAACAGGTTTATTTAACTCAGAGCTAACAAATTAGGTACATTCAGCGTCAGAGCAAATTTTTGCTAGTTTCTCAACGGCATGTAAATACGCCCCACAGAACCCCACTTTTTTCTAATTTAACCTAACCTGGATCTTCCACAGGTATTGAGATCCCATGCATAGGATCCTTATCTTGGAGACTATGTGTAGGGTGTTGCATTTCTCTAAAACGGTCTTTTCAAATTTGTACTAGTTCGGACCCGTGTTTGTTTTCCTGTCCGTATCGAGTTTTAGAAAAATATAACAGGTGGTGAAAAAGTTGTGAGACCATAAAGAAGTGGCCAATATCGATAAAGCTCCATGTATCTAGGTTATAATAGGATGAAGGCCCATCAGCTATACATTTTCTATAATCACCTCAACGGCCTCTAACCAAAGTTAAAATTGCTTTATAAACTATGGTCCCAAAATGTTTCCTTACAAAAGTCGGGGTGTTGAAGTTTTAGGAAGAAAATAGAAATTACGTAATTAATATTTTCAGAACCGCTTCAGATATTTCACTGATATTACGCGCGTAGTGAAAGTTAATAAAGTAGCATATTTTTCAATGCAAAAATAATTTTTAGCTTTAACAGTGCCGTGCGTACGGATACTGACTTTGATATTTTTATGAAAAAATGGTACGTCAATGGTTTTTTGGCAAATAAAAATTATTTTTGAATTCCCCGTTCAATTTAAAATAAATTATCTCTCCTAAATTGTTTTCCTTCGATGCGCCATTTTTGAGTAAAAAAATAAAAACCGTTCTATTGTCCGAGAAAATTAATGTAATAATTGAGGAAGGCAATTTAGCATTAAATATCTAGTTGCTCTGGAATATGTCACTGGCTTTTGACGTCTGACAAGTCTCTATTATTCAAATCTGTTCGCTGTGTCATCTTTTTCATTATTTAGTTTTTACAATCTTATTAATAACGGTGAATTATTCAAATGCAGAAATGGCGGAAATGCATTACGTATATGGCCTTGCCGACGGTAATGGTGAGCAAGCCAGACGGATTTATCACCAGAGATATCCAGATCGTGCTTTACCAGATAGTCGAACCTTTTCTAATATTCGTCGTCGTCTTGTTGAAACTGGTTCTGTCCGAAGAGGAATATCTGAAGGTAGACTTCTAAGTGTGAGAACAGCTGAAATTGAGGAAACAATGCTGCATGAAGTCGAAGAACATCTTGAAACGAGTACGAGGAAGATCGCTAGACACTCAAATATCTGCCATCAAATTGTTTGGAGAATTTTAGTAGATTTTTTGTTATATTCTTACCATATTTTAAGAGTACAGGCATTACCTCTCATTGATGTTCCAAGATGTTTGACCTTTTGTCAGTAGTATCTTCAAAAAATTACACAAAATCCGCAATTTGAATCATGATTCTGTTCACAGACGAAGCTAATTTTTCTCGAAATGCCATTCAGAATTTCCACAATAATCATTTGTGGGCGGAAGAAAATCCCTATGACGTAACCGAAACCCATTTCTAACAACAATTTTCGGTTAACGTATGGGCAGGAATTATTGGCAACCACTTTATTGGCCCATTCTTCTTGCCGGGACGACTTGATGGACAGACTTACCTCAATTTTCTTCTACAACAGTTGTCTTTGCTACTTGATGATGTTCCGTTACTAATAAGAAACAATAGGTGTTACATGCATGGTGGTGCACCAGCGCATTTCAGTGTAGCGGTTCGCAATTATTCACGAACTGTTTATCCAAATCGTTGGATTGGCCGTGGTGGGCCCCAAGAATGGCCTCCAAGGTCCCCAGACCTCAACAGTTTAGATTTCTTTCGGTGGGTCTATCTTAAAACAGTAGTGTACACAAGTCCCATTAACACTGTAGAGGAATCGAGAGAAATAATAGTTGCAGCTTGTGGTAGAATAAAAAACACTCCAGGGGTATTTCAAGGAGTGCGCAATTCCATGAGAAGGAGGGCGGAAGCATGCATACTTAGTGAAGGGGGCCCTTTTCAACAATTTTTGTAATCATTTCGTTGGTTTTAATGTTATGTTTATGCTGTCAGTTGTTGTTGTTCATTACCCCTAATGTGTTTAATTTTTTCAATTAAATTAATAATAATTTTGCAAGTTAGACAATAGAACGGTTTCTCTTCTTTTACTCAAAAATGGCGCATCAAAGGAAAATACAAGAGAGATCATTTCTATTAAATTCAACGCGGAATTTATAAATAATTTTTATTTGTCAAAAAACCACTGGCGTACCATTTTTTTCTTAAAAAATGTCGAAGTAAATACCCGCACGCACGCCACTGTTAAAGCTAAAAATAATTTTTGCATGGAAAAATATGCAACTTTATTAACTTCCACTACGGACTAAATATCAGTGAAATATCTGAAGCGGTTCTGAAAGTATTAGTTAATTTCCACTTTTTTCTTAAAACTTCAACACCCCGAGTTTTTATAAGAAAACATTTTTGGACCATAGTTTATAAAGCAAAATAACATTAATTTTTAATCCACATTCACACCATTAAATATTCGCATATCATTAAGGAATACCCTGTATAACTCCAAATAGAAGCACATTTACCTCTTTTCCTGAATGCGTGTACACCGCAACCGTTCCACTAGAAATGAAAAACATACCATCTGCCTTCCGACGTGCAGTAATGATGCGGTCTTTGGGCAGATATATTTGAGGTCTGAGACGAGACACAACTTCGCTTACTTCAGATTGAGATAGACCCTCAAATATATGGACATTTTTGATCAACCAATAGCACATGTGTACGTTTACTTCGTCTTTCAGCCTTGCTAAAATATTAACGGAAGTACATGTATGTAGTGTAACATCTGAAACTTATCCTATGATCTCCATGGTTGTCTTGCTAATAAAACGAAACCTTCTACAGTACAGTGACAATAAATTTTATTTATGTGTCTTGCCATCATGCATCAAGTAGTTTGAAAATGTTTGACCTCAAGTAGAACAATAAGACAATCAAGTCTTGCCACCCATTGATGTTTCAAGCAACTTTACTTCCAAGTCAGGTCAAGTAGTTTATAAAAATATCAAGCTACTTGGCTTGATGAATCCCGAGCGTGTCATGCAAAAATATACAAGAGACATGCCTAAACTAAATCTTTTTGCCATCGAGGTCTTCTTGAAAGTGAATCTCACCTAGAAATACAAGAAGTGCTGTTTTTTTTACTAAACATCAGAAGTGTTAAAATCACTTTCCTGTGTATGTATAACAAACATGTAGTATTGGTCTATGTGGCCTACACAGTAATTGTAGAGGACAGAAAGACCTTAATGGTGAGACACAACAAAATCGAAATCTTTGTAACACTTCTTCTTCTACTATGTTTTGAGAAAAATAGAATTGTCTGGCAAGCTTTTCTCTCGCAGCATCAAACTAAATGTACATATGCATATAACGTCTGTAGATTATCCTGTAACACAGCTCTTGATCATTCATATAAATAACCAAATCTTGCAATTTCCTGATTCTGAAAAAATTCTTGATGTTTTTGATACAAAATTAAGGGTTATTAACCATGTTAAGTCCTTCACAAAAAACCTATAAACCTATCTAAGGTTACGTACCCTTACAGGTGTTTACCATATTTTTAAGTTGCGTAAAAAACTGTGTGAAGCATTGGTGATATATATTTGTATATACAGGGTGTCCGCAAAGTTGGGGTTTTCCTTTACACGACGTGTAGATCTTGAAAACATAAGCAATTTTTCTTAGTACCATATACATCAATGTCTTAAGGGAACCGAGATAAAGGGCTATGCAACATCAAAAATATCTGAATACCGTCCTGTAGCCGCGACTCGCGACATCCCCGAGTGGTACTAGGACACTAGCTCAACCCGAGGACAGAACTGGGTCGGAGTCAGTGTGTCAGGTCAGTATGCAACCTTCAACCGACGGTTACGGTCACGCGTGTAGAGGTAAACGAACCCGTATAATCGTTTCAAAAAACAACAAGCACTGGAGACGTGGCTAGAGAAGTGCAAGTATCAAAAACTAAAGTGTGGCAAACGCAGCGTGAAGAGGGGCTGTATCCGTTTCACGTCCAACGTGTACAAGCCCTTCAACTTGACGATTTTTCAGCAAGAGTGCGGTTTTGTGAGTGGTTGTTGCATCAACATGACCATAATCCGGACTTTTCTAAGTGCATATTGGTGACAGACGAATCTACATTCACGCGTAATGGGGTGAATAACTTTCACAACACTCATGTTTGGTCAGTAGAAAATCCGCACGCTGTCCGTCGGGCACATTTTCAACAAACGTTTTCAGTGAATGTTTGGGTTGGCATGGTGAACGGTATGCTTATTGGACCATTTATTCTCCCAAATCGATTGAACGGGATGCAATACCTAGACTTTTTACGCAACATTTTGCCTTCCTTGTTAGAACATGTGCCATTAAGTGTAAGACAATCAATGTGGTTTCTGCACGATGGTCCTATTTGTTACCTCTGTTCGTAGTCTGCACCACCGCCGGCGTCTGCTCGGTAGCGCATCAGCTGATTTCACTTTCTGTTGGAGCGGTATGATTTCGGGCAGAGACGTACTTAGCCCTTCTCGTCAACTGGAGAGTGAGTACTTTGTCCTTTATTTTTTTTTACTTGGTCGCCCTCGTTTCACTACACATTACCTTTGTTATTTCAAGGGTAATTGTTTCCGAAAAGAAAAACCCCAACTTTGCGGACACCCTGTATATAACAAAAAGTAGGAAAATAATGGGCAAAATCCGTAAAAAGAAGGAAAGTGGATTTGAGCAGAAAATAGGATAGGTAACCCGAACGATACGTATTTCTGATGGTTGGCTTCATCAGGCCTGAAATGAGTGCACATATGACACTACAAAAGTAGATACACATGCCCACACATCCGGATTCTGGTGTAACCTGAGGAAACGAAGATGGAGAGGGAAAAAAACGACACACGAAGTCCACAACAAGACCCAACCTACACATTGTAGTATAAAATGGCTAGAAGACCAAGAATTTTCAAGGCGACATCTAACCACAACCACGCGGTCGGTTATAGCCACTTGCTGTGATACTTCAAGCCCAAAGGATCTACAAGAGGAAATGATCATCGGAGAATATATCCGTATACCACTGATGTCGTAATATGTGCGAGAGAACAGCGCAAAAAGAGTACCACGTTGCCTAGCAATCCGACGGACTAAGCTGCGGCTTGTCGCGTTGTCCCCGACGTACTCTTTCTAACATACGTATTGCGCGCTTCTGACCGCTTCTCTCTCGTAAATATTACCTCATCAGTGACATTCGAATTTCTCTGTATACAAAATGCCCAAGTTTGCAGTACAGAACATTTGTCACCAAATTCAAAGCGTAATTTATTATCAAATTTGCTCCTGATTTTGCCACTTGTCGTGAGTCGCAACTAACAACAACAACAAAACGTCACTGCACTAAATCTTTCATCACCTAATTCTTCTACTTCCTTTAATACTGTTTATGCTGGCTCGATTTTATCTCCTGCGATAATTTTAACGCCAAAAAGGCAACTTAACATGAAAACAAAAATCGTCCATACTCCAAACCTACACAATAATTAAAACCTTGTAGGTCGTTACTAGTTTGGACTGACTCAAAGTGTTGTCAGCGGCGGCATCGTTCTAATACCGTCAGAAAGAATGCTTGTTTTTTAAATGAGTAGTACAGTCAAAATATTTTATTATATAACTAATACTCAGAAATTAGATGCCACTTTTTTGAGTAAAATAAAATTTACGTTCTAAAAACACGTTCGGCCATATGGCGCCCTTGAGCCGAAATGCAGGAATCAAGCCTCCCCCGAAATGAGCCCATTGCGTCGACCAGCATCCGTGCAGGAATTTGGGTTACTTCCCTTATTATTTCCTCCTTCATATCGATGCTTTGGTAAACTTTTGATTTTCAGATAGCCCCAGAAAAAAATTACAACTTGACAGGTCCGGGGAGCGAGGGGGCCATGGAATATCGCCATTTCGTGAAATAAGACGTCCTGGGAATTTTTGCCGAAGAAGTTCCATCGAAGCTGTGTGATATGTTGCCCCGTCTTGTTAGAACCACACTGTTCCGAGACGAACACGTCGACGTCGAAGTTCCGGAAAAAAAAGTTGTTCAGCATGTGGATGTAACGCTCTGAGTACACAGTAGTCGTTTCTCCACATTCCTCAAAAAAATAAGGGCCAATAATCATCGTTCATCCCACTGTAACTTTCGGAGTATGCAGGGGGTGCTCATGCAACTGTTGGGTGTTCACTGGAGACCAATATCGACAATGATGTTCATTGACGTATCCATGAAAATGAAAATGTGCTTCATCACTCACAAACAACGTCCTGTCATTATTATCCAACTGTTCAATCATGAGCTGTGCAAAATTAACACGTTGTACATAGTCCCCTGGCAACAGTTGTTGACAAACTAGGATTTTGTAAGGATGGAACACTAAATCCTTCTTCAAGATGTGACGTACAGAGGACGCGTGGATCCCTAGGGAACTGGCACGCAAACGGACGGAACGCTTCGGACTTTGCAGCGTGTCAACTCTCACTCTGTATAAGTTCGAACGACAGACTCGCCATTTTTAAAGTACCGACATACAGTGAACACACGATGCTCAACGTTCCAAACTATCTTGCAAACTGAAACGGCACTTCTTCCACTATCTAACACGCCCTTCCCCACCGACACAGGACCAGCCCACTCGATGTAGCACCCATTCGAAAAACATGCGTACTTTCTGACGGACCCTGTACAACCTGGGTAGGAATCGGGATCGAAACCGCTTAAATCGGTATCGAATCCGAGTCGAAACCACCAAAGTTGATGCCTTCCAGATGATCGGAATAGATTCCGACTAATCGCCTGTACGATATCGTTTGTTTGGAATGACTCGTTCAAAACCAACACAGCCCAAATACTATTTCTTCAGTTGACATTTTCCAGTAGCGCCTTTTTGAATGAAGCATCCCACAAACCGGCGCGAAATAATCGCTTTGGCTGCGAAAATTTCGCGGCGATGAATTCGTGATCAGATTAAAACGCGGCGGTTTATGGACAGGCTCAGACTTGTGCGAAGCGAATGCGATTGTTCCAGCGTTTTTATCGCGGCGTATTTCAGTTCGCCTTTGACCGCGTTTTTGACGCCGTTCTTCAAAAATTCGCAATGGCAAAAACGGAATTATTGATAGAGATAGTGAAAAAGTATCCTTGCTTGTATGATTTGTCGAACGATGAATACAGGAATTTGAGAAAGAAAGACAAGATTTGGATGGAAATAGGAAAAGAATTAAATACAAATGGTATGTACCTAATATTTTTTATTAACTTGTTAAATAATTTACAGTCTACACAAATGTGAAAACGAACATTCTATATATTGGGCATAGGCATATCAGAATTAAAATAATTTACGAATTTGTCACGAGTAGAAAAACGGGTTCTGGGGGATCTAAGAATTGAAAATATTTGTCATCGCCACTTTTACTTCGTAAAAAATTGTGTAAAACACATGCCGTACGTACAATTAGAATAGTAGTATCTACTTTAGCTTCTAATGGCCTGTAAAATATTCGCCATTTTTGAGACAAAATACCAAACGCATTTTCCACGACCCTTCTAGCTCGACAAAGTCTTACATTGTATTTCTCTTTTCTGACGTCTGTTAAAGTCTGCTTATAAGGAAATGGTCTCATAAGGTATGGTTTTAAAGCAAATGCTTCATCACCAATTAAGACGTACGAGCAGATTTCATTTTGCCCAGGGAGAAATCTAGGTGCAGGGACACTCATTAAATTTTGTTCAAATCGTTTTCCCATGTTTGAGGTTTCGAAAATACCCCCATCACTATTTTTTCCGAAACCACCAATATCAACACATATAAATTTATAGTCCGGGCCAACAATGGCCATAAGTACTCTTGAATATTTATGTAAATAGCACCAGTAATTGTAGCCACTGTTGTTAGGTCTCTTGATTGTTACATGTTTACCGTCCACGCTGCCAATGCAATTGGGAAATCCCCATCTATTTTCAAATTCTTCAGCACATTTTTTCCATATATTCTCTGTTGGTTCTGGTAAATATATATGCTCCATATCTCTGCATATCGCTTCACAGACTTCGGTTACGATTGCACTCACTGTTGTAAAGCCAACTCGAAAGCTATGCCCAATGGTATAGAAGGTGTCACCAGTGGCAAGGAATCTATAAAAAAATCGTTTTTAGGTGATGAAGTAAAAAAAGGTAGAAGAATATCAGAGACACATTTGCAAAATATATAAAATCTACCAAACCAAAGACCGGCCAAGCAGTGGGCAACATAAAAAAATGGCAGTGGGCTGACTACATGGAATTTTTCCGTCCTTTTTTGGCATTTGCCAAAACGTCGTCTAATGTGAAAGATATTGACGTCATACATTATGAGACTGCCGAATTTAACTCAAATATATATCAGGAAAGGGCTGGAAATGTAGAAACCGAAAATTTGGAAGACCGCGGCCATGGAGAAGATGAAAATGCTGATGTAGATGCAGAAGATGCACAGAACGCCTCGGCAACACAGACAGCACCACCTTCTTCATTGAACACTACAGCAGTGACTACTCCAGGGCACACCTTTCCGCAGACTGCAACTACACCAAAATATAAAACGAGCAGAAAACATTATGAACCACCATCTTCGTCTGTACAACAGCTCATTTTATTTTGAAGGTAAAAAACCTAAAAAAGAGAACGAGGCCATTGATTCACTTTTCTTGGCACATGCACAGACTGTGAAAACACTTCCCTTAAAGCGTCAAGTCCTAATAAAACTAAAAATAGCCGAATTAATAGCGCACGAAGAATTTGAACATATTGAAGAAATGTCTTCAGCGTCTACCCAGAATTCTGCAAGTATGTATGATAGTAGTATGTCGTCCTTCCCAAGCGGCACTGGGTTTACTCCAATAATATACCCAACAGAGGAGGCAAATTCTGCCTCGAATTATTTAGCAACATTTAATCCTAGTGGCAACATGTAGTCCAATTATTACAATAAAATATTTATTTCACGATCCCTGAAGTTTTCGTATTCGATAAGCCTACTAATTTTAATACATATAATTTTTTTACCTGAGTGTAATAGCAAGTCGTTCTTCTGGCGAAATAGCTTCACGATAATTTGTGTCAGATTTTCGTATTTCATCTTTCACCAAGTTCAATATTTCATCGAAACACTCTGGAGTCATTCTAAAATATACTTAAAAGCGCTGTTCATCCAGCCGAAGTTGTGGCATCAAGGTATGGTATTCCCCAAATTTATTTCGTTCCAAGTTAATATCATGTACCCACTTCCTTCGTTTCCTAAACAAAATTGAAAATATTTGTTTTATGTACTTCGTTAAACTTAATACATACCCAACTATCAAATGGCGTTAAATAAACATAACTTACCGTGCATTTTGTTCCTCTTCTAAAGCAAGAAATAGAAGTGCCTCCTCTTCTTCTGAAGACGAGCTCATTGCAAAAGGCAAAAATAAAATGTACGCAACCTGTCGAAACCTTCACGTTCGCGGAGCGAATAAGACGCTTTGGTATGAATAAACAGGCGAAACAGATTGCGAATTTCGCTCTGAATTTCGTTGCGAATACTTCCCCGCGATTATTTCGCGCCGGTTTGTGGGATGCTTGAATAATTATTTTGCTTTATACTTGGCCCTATTCTAGAACTAGCAAAATTTTCACCAATCGGCGAGCTCAGGAAACAAAACTTCACTGCAGATTGATATTGATAATTTGATAATTTAGTTCTTTCAATTATTGATTTATAAGGGTGCTGTTGTGTTTAGCAGACCTCAGCTCCACAGTTTACGAGCTGCGAAAAATACAATGAAATAGATTTTACCTGGAAGTACAGCTGCTACGGCTTTCTCCTTGAAAAACTCCTTTTGGTAAAGAAAATGATAGAACTGCAGTATACGATTCCGGAGAGCGGCGGTTACACCCCGTTGGGTCATATAGCATGATAACTGGTCTATTATTTCTTGATACTTTATCTCCAACTTCTTTGCACTCAAGATAGATACAGAGAGCATCACTAAAATGTAAAAATCAAATATAAGGACTTCTGCTAATCGATACGCATTGAAACCAAACATGATGCGTTCGTCCTTCCGACCAAATAGACAGTCAACCACGGACAGCTGTTTCGTGCTTCTTGGCGACTTATTAGCATGGTCTAGGCTTGTTTTGTCTCTGGATGAAGGAACGAAAGCATCGCAACCTATAATCTATAACCGAGGTACGGTCTATCGACATAAGGCAGCGCAAAACACCGAAATGGATAGATGTTTGGTTTGTTCAATGGCAAGTAGGCCACATCTTCTTTACAGGCAGAATCGACAGCCATCTAGCGGCCACGTGGTTTTCTATTAAAAGCAAGCTGAGATCACAGTTTCAACTAATAGCAGCTATGCGCCTTCCGCAGAGGTCAATTCTGGTGTGATTGATGGCGCTTTGCGCTATCTACTTTAGACTTGCATTTATCTATTATAGAGCTTGAAACTGCTGTATAGCTTACTCACCCCAGACGATGCCCAGCAGTACTTTTCCTGTTGTGTATGTTGTAATTGCCAGAGCATACTCTTCCGGCAACTTATGCTCATATAATTTCACTTTTATTCCTGGAATCAATACGCAATTTTAACTGAAACGTATCCTTTGATTGTCTTAACCCCCCTACTGATAGTGCGTTATGGTATGCATCAGTCATACCAGTGGGGTTGATGGATGATAAATAAGTGGCCAGATACGGGCTAATCATTTCCCGGACAATTCAAGGCCAACGGAACCGGGCAGTAGTAATAAAAGTATGAAAACAAATATCGTATATATATGTCGGCTAAAATCCGTCACTCCTTGAAATGCCTAGTCAGTCCTCGTATTGCCGGCAAACACCGTAACAGTTTGGTCGTTACAACGTTTGACTAAGCATAATCACTGAACACTTTCAGTCAAACACCGAAACATCCACATTAACTTCGTTACTCCATTTGCCTCATTCATTGTGCCAGTTTTCTGATCATTTGCTTGACTATACACATCATCTTTTCTGGGTTTGTAAAGATGTCGCACCATTTAGGATCGTTTTACAAGAAACTATGACAGTGTGAATAAGAAAAAATCATGGAATACAAATGAGTTAAAGGGGGTAAGTTAATTTTTATAATTTTGTAAACCTAACCTAAATGATAACGTACATGTGCTTGCTCTCAACAGCAGCATCCGTGTTGCCGAATTTCGTATATACGAGTAAACACTTGATTAAAAAAGCAATAATGTAATAAATAAGGACAACGTTTTAGTCTATTCTTCTTTCCTTTTAGATTAATTCATGCTTGATTATTTTTTGGCTTCGAGAAGGCCGTACGCAAAGAGCAAGGGGCACTGGACGCCGCCGTAGAACAACAGACCGTGAAGATCGCCGCCTAAGATTAATGGCCTTAAGGGACCGTTTCTCAACTACCAGGTCCATTGCAAATGAATGGTTTGCAGAACACGGAAGACCTGTTGGCATGCGAAGTGTTTACCGACGAATGAGAAGTTTTGGCTTGTTTTCATACCGGCCACACTGGGTCCTCCCTTTAACTCGAGAACACCGACGTAATCGCCTTGAGTGGTGCAGACAACGGCACTCTGGGATCAGGAATGGAACAGTATTTTCGTTAGTGACGAGTCTCGATTTTGTTTAGGCGTGCACGATGGTCGTGCCAGGGTTAGAAGGCGACGTGGTGAAAGGAGTAATCCACAGTTTTTTGTTGAAAGACATGTTCATCACACTGTTGGAGTTATGGTTTGGGGTGCTATAGCTTATGGTTCCAGGTCACCTTTAATCTTCATCAGAGGTAACATGAACGCGCAGCGTTATATCCACGAAGTTCTAGAACCCCATCTTTTACCCTATCTTGACACCCTGGCAGATCCAACTTTCCAACAAGATAATGCCCGACCACATGTTGCAAGAGTCACAATAGACTTCTTTCAACATAATGATGTCACATTGTTACCATGGCCACCAAGATCTCCCGACTTATCCCCAATTGAGCACGTGTGAGATATGATGGGTAGGAGATTGCTCAATTTGCAACGTCCTCCTCAGACTCTAGAAGCACTTCGAGAGGAGTTGGTGGTTGCCTGGAATGAGATACCACAGGAGGACATTGACCACCTGATCAGAAGCATGCCTAGGCGCGTTGGAGAACGCGTAGCACATCAGGGTGCATCCACACATTATTAAAGGTCAAAGGGCTTTAAAGCAGTGCAATCATTTTGAAATTTTTATCATTTACTTATTATGCTTCATTAAGTACTTATACAAAATTTTATTAAAATAAAACCATTTAAACTGGGTGTTCGGATTTATATGTCACTTAGTATATTATGTACTTCATTGGAGCAACACTGTATTGATTACAGCATTTGACTAAAATAGGAGAATGCAGTAACAAGGTTAATGTGGTTGTTACGGTGTTTAATTGAACTTGTTCAGTCATTACATGGAATGCTTAGTCAACTGTTGTAATGATCAAACTTTTACGGTGTCTAGGCATTTCAGGGAATGACGGATTTCAGCGTTTGACGCTGACATATATATTTTAATTAGCGCTCGAAAATATCCATGATCTATTTTTTAAGGAGAAACATACCATACTATACCATACTATTTATTGATCACGTTATGTATATACAATGTACATGTGATATCTTACAAGCTAATTTATCAATTATCCGAGTGACGTCATCTGAATAGAAACAGTGTTTAAGCAATGTTTTTTTAGCCAACTTTGAGAAACAGCAATAATACATATTTTCAAAACTACGTTCTTTAGGGTGGGGCGAAAAGTTTCTAGCCTGACCAAGAGATGGCGCCACTAGGTCTACTTTTGGAGTGGCGTCCTATAGAACCGTTCCTACCAAGCTTGCATGTACAGTTACAGCTCAATCGCTACGTTAGTTTGCGTTTGAGAACACATTGCGCGAGACGCGTGCGATGTTTTCGTAAAAATGGAAAAATTGAAAAAACGTGCTGTCATCAAATACTTCTATTTGAAAGGTTTTACACCAAAACAATTAACAGAAGAGATGGATTCAACACCAGGAGACTCCTACCCATCATATTCAACTATTAAGCAGTGGGTTTCTGAATAGAAAAAATTGAGAAAGTCCATAAAATAGTGTTAGAAGACTGCAGGTTGAAAGTGCATGAGATAGCTGAGACCTGTAGGATGTCAGCTGAACGTGAGCGAAAAATTTTGCACAACCATTTGAACATGGAAAAGCTGTGTGCAAGGTGGGTGCCACGTTTGCTGTCGCTCGATCAAAAACTGCATCGAAAAACCATTTCTACCGATAATTTGGCGGTATATAGGCGTAATCCAAACGAATTTTTGAGTCGATTCATAACTGTTGATGAGATTTGGGCCCACCACTACACTCCTGAAAGTAAAGAACAGTCCAAACAGTGGATTGGAAAATACTAAGCAGAGTTATTGCAACGTTTGAAGCACAAGGTGCAAATTAAACGACCTCATTTGGCGAAGAAAAAAAATTTGTTTCAGCACGATAACGCACCAGCACATTCGTCGATTATTGCCATGTCCAAAATCCACGAATTGAATATTGAATTGATGCCGCATCCTCCCTACTCTCCAGATTTAGCCCCCAGCGACTATTACCTGTTTCCTACCTTAAAAAAAGGGCCTGGCGGTAAAAGATTTAAGAGCAACAAAGACGTTATCGAAGCTGTAAATCATTATTTTGAGGAGCTTGACGAATCCACGTTTAAAACTGGTATAACTAAATTAGAACACCGTTATGAGAAATGTATCAGTGTTGATGGAGATTATGTTGAAAAATAATGCAATTTTTTTTTAAACGACGGTTTTCTTGGTCAGGCCGGAAACTTTTCACCCCACCCTCGTATTTGAATTTACGAATAAATTATATTATTTAACATTATGTCTATTATTTTTAGTCATAGTTAGTCGCGAGTATGGTTGGTAACTAACATTACGTAGTGCATGAGAGTGTATTTAATATTTGTTTAGATTTCTATGCACATAACATACGACGTCAAAAATAAAATTGATAGAAGTGATAGTAATATTTGTGAATTTTTGAAATCATTTCTGCACGTTGATCCATATGTAATCACACTAAGGAACATGCTGAATTACACTACCCGCAAAGTATGGTTATCAAAGCATCTGCGTAGCAGCCTAAGAACAAATAATTGCGAGGACAGTCTGGGATATTAATAATAAATGTGGGAAGTCCAGTTTAGTCTGGCATCAACTACTATTCTTAGAAGTTTTACTGGTTCAGATCTCACAAACCCCCTATCAGAGGAAAATGTAATACATGTCTTGTTTTCACTTAACGATAACTTGTTGGGTAAAAGCTTGTTCCAGACTATCCTCATCCGTGTTTTTTGGTGAGGTCTAGACAGCAAGGTGGTGTAGTCTGCAAATAGGAAGCAGGATCCGTTATCAACACTCGAAGGACAATTATATACTAAGTGACATATAAATCCGAACACCCAGTTTAAATGGTTTTATTTTAATAAAATTTTGTATAAGTACTTAATGAAGCATAATAAGTAAATGATAAAAATTTCAAAATGATTGCACTGCTTTAAAGCCCTTTGACCTTTAATAATGTGTGGATGCACCCTGATGTGCTACGCATTCTCCAACGCGCCTAGGCATGCTTCTGATCAGGTGGTCAATGTCCTCCTGTGGTATCTCATTCCAGGCAACCACCAACTCCTCTCGAAGTGCTTCTAGAGTCTGAGGAGGACGTTGCAAATTGAGCAATCTAGTACCCATCATATCCCACACGTGCTCAATTGGGGATTAGTCGGGAGATCTTGGTGGCCATGGTAACAATGTGACATCATTATGTTGAAAGAAGTCTATTGTGACTCTTGCAACATGTGGTCGGGCATTATCTTGTGGAAAGTTGGATCTGCCAGGGTGTCAAGATAGGGTAAAAGATGGGGTTCTAGAACTTCGTGGATATAACGCTGCGCGTTCATGTTACCTCTGATGAAGATTAAAGGTGACCTGGAAGCATAACCTATAGCACCCCAAACCATAACTGTGCATTCCTCATTTCACCACGTCGCCTTCTAACCCTGGAACGACCATCGTGCATGCCTAAACAAAATCGAGGCTCGTCACTAACGACAATACTGTTCCATTCCTGATCCCAGAGTGACCGTTGTCCGCACCACTCAAGGCGATTACGTCGGTGTTCTCGAGTTAAAAAGAGGACCCAGTGTGGTCGGAATGAAAACAAGCCAAAGCTTCTCATTCGTCGTTAAACACTTCGCATGCCAATAGGTCTTCCATGTTCTGCAAACCGTTCATTTGCAATGGACCTGGTAGTGGAGAAACGGTCGCTTAAGGCCAATAATCTTAGGCGGCGATCTTCACGGTCTGTTGTTCTACGGCGGCGTCCAGTGGCCCTTGCTCTTTGTGTACGGCCTTCTCGAAGCCATGCCTGACAACACCTAACCACAGTGTCTACACTTCTTTGCACTCTAACTGCAATTGCCCGAAAAGAAAGTCCAGCTTCCCGAAGTCTCACTATACGGCCCCTATCAGACTCACTAAGTAGACGAAATCGTACAGGTCTCCGTACTCTAGGCATCGTAACCGATCGTAAAGGAGGTCAAGAACCAAAACCCGCCAACGTTGATTCTTTACTGCGGCTGAAATATTCATTTTTAGAGCGTTAGTGAATTAAAAAAAAACAGTATAAAAACCGGAATGTCCAACTGATAAGGCTGACAATTTTTTCACTTGTTATTTACAGTAAGATAAATACATTCTCCAACTTTTATTAAAATAAAACCATTTAAACTGGGTGTTCGGATTTATATGTCACTGTATTAGGAATAGCAGAGGGCCAAGTACTGATCCCTGCGACACCCCGTTGTAAATAGGCAAATAGGCAAAGAGGCGCTGCCTTCAGAGCGTACAACCTGCTTCCTATTTGAGAAATACAAACGAAATAGTGCTAGCTCGGTATTTCTTATGCCATAGTATTCTAGTCTTTTCAACAGAATTGTATGTCAATTGACGCAATTAAATGCTTTCGTTAAGTCACACGTGGTAGCCATAGTATTAGAGTTATCTTCTATATTATCCAGTACTTCCTCTTACTAGCTGAGAAGTTCTTTAATTGTGGATGGTTTTTTTTGTAAATCCAAATTGTGCTACAGATAGGATAGATTTACCTTCGCAATAGCTTGCTACTTTATCTTACACAATAATGTCAAAGATTTTCCTAATAGTTGGTATAATTTGCAGTTAGTCTGTAATTATTGGCGGAGTCATTGTCCCCTTTGTTTATGTAGGGATACTTTTAGAAATTTTGAATACATCCGGCCAAATACCCTCGGGTATACATTTGCTATACAGTGGCGTCAAAGGTTCCGATAATATATCAACAGACGCGTTGATAATGGCGCTGTTGAGTCCATAACAATATCTCGAAGGTAAACCTTTCATAAATAATATCACCCTTCTGACATCGTGGGGAAGTTCTGGAGAAATAATGAAGAAAAAATATGGCTTGAGAATTTTATCAGAATTAACTTTGAAGCATGCTCAAGATTGTATCTGAAATTATCGAAAGAAAGTTATTAAAGTCATTAGGAAATTGATAGTTTACTATTTGCCATATTTTTATTGTCTGAGTTTATTATCAAATTTGACTAATTATTTATTTTTTCACGTTTTATTGTGTTAATATATTAATTTTCAGGAGATATTTTGTTTTTCCTGACGCATTGAACTGCATTTTAAGATCAATCATATGTTTTGTCATCAGGCGCAACGTCATTATACCACCTAACTAATAAAAATAACACTCTTTCTAGACTGAAAACAAGAAGTGAGCATCTATTTATGGCTAATTGATACGTACAAGAACCAGATCAGTTATCTTATATAAAAATAAAGGGCTATTCTATGTCTTATAAAAAGAATACTCTCTCTAGACCAAAAACGAAAGATTGGCAACTTTGGTACAAGAACAACACCTTAAATCCGTATACATATCCAGATACGGACTTCCATATCCATCACATCCCCATCTTCAGTGTATTTTACTATGTTTTATGCCAATCTGGATGGTTCGTTAAATAAGAATGTGAGCATACCTAATAGGTATGCCGAGCTTTTGAAAAATGCATGGAGGTATCGTTTGTGAAAATTCTGGTAGTACAAGTCATTAGTGTATATCCAACTATCAAATTTTCTCTCTTTCCTAGGCACGAAGTATATTCTAACTGTCCTAGACACTCCATACTGCATGCAGGTAAAGAAATGCAGCAACAGTAGCATTATTATTAAAGAGCAAAATGGAAATAGTACATTCTTCATGTTCATCTGAAAATACTAAAAAGTTCCATTTATTAATATCCTGATGAGGAATTGTTATCTACTCTAAGGCTACACCCCCAAAAGGCCATTTGACCTCTTAGAAGTTGTCGCTAGCCTTCCCCTTCAGCGGCGGACAGCCACGGCAGAGCGGGCGCTTCAGCCGAAGAGGCCTGCACCTTTAACCATTTCAGGGGAAAAAAGAAGCTGGTTTAACCGCAGAGTGCACGCAACAAAGAGTCCTGTTGGCTCAAAAGTAACCATCTTGTATTGAGGAATATAACTTTGCTATGTGTTCAATATATGTTTTTTAAACTAAAGTTCATTTATTGATTCTAAGAGTTATATTTTCTTTGAAGCAATGAAGTTATCTCATTTCAAATATCTTTGATCCCGAATAAATGTCTACATTTTATAGAACCAAAAGCACCCTTTTTGTCTGCGCCCCTACTATTAGTACTCTGGTACTAATCAAATAGTGTTATGAGTTCTTACCTCCTCAATGCGGTAGATTATCTGAATGAGGGTGATCAGCCTTATTAATCGAAAACAGCACAATATATTTAAAACGCCCAGAAAATAAAGCATTTGATCAGAAAGTATTTGCTCCTCGCTCATTATTAGATACCATATCTGCCTTGGAGTCGCAGAGAGAAGATCGCATATAAAAAAAGGTCCAAGTATGTAATGTCTGTAATGTAAGGTTGCAAAAATACAGGGTGGCGCATCGAAAACGAAACAGACGCACTTACTGGCAGCTCAGTTTTTTTTTGGAAAAACGCTCAGACCCGTCGATTTTGTTTTCGAGGGGGCACAAGTTTGGCAAATATCACGTTGACACGTGCAGCCCCCTGGGCGGGGGTGACACCAACCCTAAAATCTTAAATGGAAAGGGGGGTCGAGTGATACCTTATTTTAAAGGTCTTTCAATTCCCTTTATAATGGTGTAAAATACATGAGCTTCAGTTCAGTAGTTTTGAAGATTTATTGACTTAAAGCTTAAAGTAGACTTTAATAGGTACATCAGATTAGTTGGTACTACTTTCAGAAGAAATTTGACTAAAAGAACTTACTTAATAAGTAAATGCTTTTCTGGGGTCATTTAAAAAGCAAAATCTATGTTACTCAGCCAACATTATTAAAAGACCTGCGACAAAGAATTGTGAATGAGTGCCTTCAAATTACTCCTCAAATATTGCAAAATGTGCGGCAAAGTTTTGAGCAAAATCTTTATTATTGTATGGAGAGTTATGGTGGCCATTTTCATAATTTACTTGCCTAACGGGTCAGTTCATTCTTCATTTTCAAATTACGTTGATGCCAAATGTATTAATCTGCACTAATGATGATGTATTAGTTTTATTTAAGTTTTAAATCAATAAGTCTTCAAAACTACTGAACTGAAGTACATTAATTTTATATCTTAATAAGGGAATTGAAACACCTTTAAAATAAGGTATCACTCGACCCCCCTTTCCATTTAAGATTTTGGGGGTGGTGTCACCCCCGCTTAGGGGGCTGCACGTGTTAACGTGATGTTCTGCCAAACTTGTGTCCCCCTCGAAAACAAAATCAACGGGACTGAGCGTTTTACAAAAAAAACTGAACTGCCAGGAAATGCGTCTGTTTCGTTTTCGATGCGCCACCCTCTATATAAAATGTTATATTCGCCCACTACATCCAAATCTACTCCTAATTCGACCTTATTTATTCTTGCGGCCCAAGTCTTATACTCGAAAAACACCACAGGAAGGCAACGTGCAGTGAATTTACACAGCATGGCAACTAAAGGGCATCCCAAAATGCATCAACGACGCATGTTCCTTTTTTTTCAGTAGCTTGTCTGGATGAGTATTTTTAATACTTTTCGACTGATTGTTTCATGGTGTGTATTGTAGAGGCAACTTAAAAAAACTAATGTTATCTATTCTTTGTTTGTCAAATTAGTGTATTTTTTCTTCAATCTTAACTTGTTTACAAATATTAGTACAGTCCGAAATTGTATGGAAATATTCCACTTTTATGGAAGAATTAGACGGGTGATTACTTTATTTCTTATCAGTTTCTCTTTTTCTCTCTCTCTCATTTTGCAGCAAATTGAGTATTGAAGAAAATCAAAGATTTTTTTAAGGAATAAGGAGATGAGAATAACAGTAATCATCCGCTCAATTGTACTATAAAAGTGGAATTTCCACATACTATACTAAGTGACATATAAATCCGAACACCCAGTTTAAATGGTTTTATTTTAATAAAATTTTGTATAAGTACCTAATGAAGCATAATAAGTGAATTTTTTAAAAATTTCAATATGATTGCACTGCTTTAAAGCCCTTTGACCTTTAATAATGTGTGGATGCACCCTGATGTGCTACGCATTCTCCAACGCGCCTAGGCATGCTTCTGATCAGGTGGTCAATGTCCTCCTGTGGTATCTCATTCCAGGCAACCACCAACTCCTCTCGAAGTGCTTCTAGAGTCTGAGGAGGACGTTGCAAATTGAGCAATCTCCTACCCATCATATCCCATACGTGCTCAATTGGGGAGAAGTCGGGAGATCTTGGTGTCCATGGTAACAATGTGATATCATTATGTTGAAAGAAGTCTATTGCGACTGTTGCAATATCTGGTCGGGCGTTATCTTGTTGGAAAGTTGGATCTGCCAGGGTGTCAAGATAGGATAAGAGATGGGGTTCTAGAACTTCGTGGATATAACGCTGCGCGTTCATGTTACCTCTGATGAAGATTAAAGGTGACCTGGAACCATAAGCTATAGCACACCAAACCATAACTCCAACAGTGTGATGAGCATGTTTTTCAACAAAAAACTGTCGATTCCTCCTTTCACCACGTCGCCTTCTAACCCTGGCACGACCATCGTGCATGCCTAAACAAAATCGAGACTCGTCACTAAAGACAATACTGTTCCATTCCTGATCCCAGAGTGACCGTTGTCTGCACCACTCAAGGCGATTACGTCGGTGTTCTCGAGTTAAAGGGAGGACCCAGTGTGGCCGGTATGAAAACAAGCCAAAACTTCTCATTCGTCGGTAAACACTTCGCATGCCAATAGGTCTTCCGTGTTCTGCAAACCATTCATTTGCAATGGACCTGGTAGTGGAGAAACGGTCCCTTAAGGCTGATAATCTTAGGCGGCGATCTTCACGGTCTGTTGTTCTACGGCGGCGTCCAGTGCCCCTTGCTCTTTGCGTACGGCCTTCTCGAAGCCATGCCTGACAACACCTAACCACAGTGTCTACACTTCTTTGCACTCTAACTGCAATTGCCCGAAAAGAAAGTCCAGCTTCCCGAAGTCCCACTATACGGCCCCTATCAAACTCACTAAGTTGACGAAATCGTACAGGTTTCCGTACTCTAGGCATCGTAACCGATCGTAAAGGATGTCAAGAACCAAAATCCGCCAACGTTGATTCTTTACTGCGGCTGAAATATACATTTTTAGAGCGTTAGTGAATTAAAAAAAAGCAGTATAAAAACCGGAATGTCCAACTGATAAGGCTGAAAATTTTTTCACTTGTTATTTGCAGTAAGATAAATACATTCACCAATTTTTATTAAAATAAAGCCATTTAAACTGGGTGTTCGGATTTATATGTCACTTAGTATATATATCTTCTACTCACTTGGCGATTTTCTTTGGATCCATCACCATATCATCGTTTCGGTCGTCGATATAACCAGTAAAGAAATTAATACATATGTCCAAAAAGCACAGTAGATCAAGAAATACAGAAACTTCTCTATGGTGTGGAAAGAATTCCAGTTGCAGTCTTGTAAATCCGTGCTCGGCCAATTTGGAAAATATCATGATTGCAATAAAAAATGCCAAGTAAATCTCATATACTGCCCTACAATAGGAATGGGTTTTCACTTGGCGGATAATTGTGATAATAATAACAACAACAACAATAATATTAATAATCATAATTATAATAATAATAATGAAAGAATACTTTAAAAGGAAAAACAACATTAAGATAATTAAACTAAAAAAGTCTTTGGAGGAGATTGAGAAAAATCGATCAGTCTAGATATCACACACTAGAATACACTATACAGCATTAGTCCCCGCATTTGTGACGAATGATCCCAAAGCTATGGTGCCCTACATGCGAAATTTTACAGTGATTGTGCTATGTTTGGCACAATTCTATCAATCAAAGCAGATAAATATTCAGTACCAACAACACTCCTCAGTTCAGACGGGGCATTCTAGATATAAATGTGTGCGTTAAGGTTTCATGTACTTGCATACTGCATATGGTACAAAGTTATAAAGGATTTCTGGTATGCGTGAAGCAGTTAAAATATATAGGGAACTTGGAGGTACGAGCCCCTTCCCACTTCAGTTGGCCCAACTATTGAAATTTTTTTGCAGCATCAAAATAACACATGTTGCAATTACAGCATATCAACCTATTTTCATTTCAATGCAAAATAAGTCTATAACGCATAGGTGGCTGTGAAAAATAAAAGCCATGACAATTGTTTTTATTAATCACAGCTGTCAGAATACGTTTAAAATAGTTTTGGGTAGTTAAGATTTTCAAAATGGGTAGAGGAAAGGTTATTAGTGAGAAAATTCGGTTACTGATAATTAAATTTTTTAATTCTGGGAAATCAAACTCAGAAATTGCAACTTTGTTAGACTTGTCGCGCTACAGTGTGAGAAATATTGTTAGAAGATATAACGTGACTGGTTCAGTCAATATTAAGCCATGATATGTGAAAAAAAGTAATATCACAAATGTCGACCGAAGAGCATTAATAAGAATAATCGTGAAATACAGGAGTGCCAATTATTTACAATTAAGTGCTCTGTGTAGTGACGCCGTTGGAAGGAGAACTTCGAGGTCCACAACTCATAGAGAGGCCCACAAACTGTGATTTAGCACTTGCAAGGTAAGTTTTCTTATAAAAAAAAAGTGAAGTAAAAACCCTAAAGTTGCACAACTTTTTTATAGGCCAAAGAAAAGCCATTGTTAACTCCACTGCAAAAGAAAAATCGGCTTAGATGGACTAAAGAACATAGACATAGGACACCTCAACAATGGTGTGCAATAGAATGGAGTGATGAGGCCCGATTCGAAGTTTGTGTTGGTGACAGTCGCAGTAGAGTTATTCGCAAAAAAAAATGAAGAATTCCATGTTGACTGTCTGAAGAGAAAAGTGAAATTTCCAGCATCCATTATGGTCTGGGGCAGTATGTCATCAAACGGAGTAGGAAAACTTCATTTTATTGATGGAAATGTGGATACAAACAGATATTTGGCAATTTTAGAAGAATCGCTTTTACCAGTGATGTTTGACATCCGGCCAAGATTTTGTGTTTCAGCAAGATGGTGCAGCGTGCCATACCTCAAAGAAGGCTATAAAATGGATGGAAGAAAATAATGTACCACTTTGGGAATGGGTTTCTAGCAGTCCAGATCTGTCACCTATTGAAACTTTGTAGCACGAGATGAAAAAGGTTATACGACAACTTCCTGCTCTTACAATCACCGAACTGAGACAAAAGCTTCAAGAAATATGGGATTGTTTTACATAAAATTTTTGCCAAAACTTGTTTAACACTATGCCCCCAAGAATTTCAGCCGTTATAAAAAATAAAGGTGATGTTACCTAATGGTAATCTTTCAATTGTTGCTTTGTTAACTTCGCGCATTTATTCGCACATTGTTTATTTGTTCAGATGTTCTGTTAGTTATAGGTCTAAGTGATTTCAAATATGTATTTTTTACGACTAGAGTGTATCTAAAATGTTTTTGAGAAAACAAATTGTTTTAGAAGTAAATAGTTTCGTCATGTTTAGTTTATAAAGGCATATTTTGGTACAAATCTTGAAGTGGGCCAACTGAAGTGGGAAGGGGCTCGTAGTGATTGCAAGTTTGTCTCGCAGTGAGGTGCATTAAACTGCTGATGCCGCTCTAGAAGACCAGATTCATAATCACGTCTGGTGAAACCAAAATTCGGACGAAGCTGGTATCATCGAGATAGGTCTTCCAGGGGAACTCTTTAAGTCCCGTGCTCTTCTGCATCTCACTTCTCCCAACGATTCAGCTGTAGCACGGACAGCAACCGGAGGCATAAGGCCATCCAACTTTTTGATATGGATGACCTAAGACTGTGTGCCTCCTACCAATGCTCAGGGTAGTGCAAAAGTATAGTAATGCTATTGGAATGGAGTTCAGCATAGATAACTGCGCTATGGTTCATCTCACGACAGGACGACGCGCTGATGGTGAAGAGGAGGTGCAGCTCGTCCACTTTGCATTAACTACATGCCGGAGTGGCGCAGCGCCATATCCAGGAGGTTAACGTGGCCAAAGAGTCTTTCCGCCTCTAGTTCTTGCATCGACTCAGGCGGTCCCATTGCTATTGTACCCACTCGGGGGAACCACTGGACAACTCGAAAATGAAACCCATAAAAAGATGAACATGCAACAAGTTCCACCTATAGACCATCCACGACATCAGAGGGGGCGAAGACTATTGAGTTTGAAACCATGATAGACAGGTACCGAGCACTGCTTCTGAGGTTGTGTGGATCACGGATGCTCTTATCCTCTTTATGCTTGAGCGCGAGAATGCGGGATAAGGAGTTTTCCTTTTTAGGGCAGCGAATAGAATATAAAATTTGCTGAAACATGGCTTGTCTGAGCAGTTGACCTTTTTATTTCTAAGGTCTCGTAAGTTAAAATCTGAGACTGCGTGTTCAGTATAGCTTGCCAAGATATTGTTCTTAATACATTGATATACCGTGATAGGGTTGTGGATGCGAATGTGTCCGATGCCAACTGAAGAGCCTGCTGACAGGAACTAAAGACGCTTGTCAGCGTGTAAAGTATACGCTGGAACTGCTTACGTCTATTGGCACGGCGCAGCTTGTGAGCTCTATACTATCATTTGAGGTTCTCTTACGGTAGAGCCGCTGCCGTATGCTTTAGAGGATATTGAGTCCATTGTGGAGAACGAGAGATACCGGATTCACCCGAATTACTCGTTATCCATGGTCGACCTGGTGCAGAAAAAGAAGCCCAACATCGTCATTCTCGACCATGAACAGAAGGCGATGTTCGTTACTGAATTTTTGGCACCGGCCGAAGAGGGCATCGTCTTGAAGGAGGAGGAAAAGCCGACCAGTATCAGGAGCTCCTCAATCAGCTTCGCAGACTTTGGCCCGACCACACTTTCAGCCTGATAGTTATGGTGATTGCACCCTTGGGTGGGATGAGGAAAACCCTGCTCCATACCGGTATGCAGATCGGCAAACATCTTAGCCATAAAAATGTAGAAGGCTGTCATCCTCGGTGTCACTCCGTCTACTTACGGCACACGATTTGCAGATCAACTAGTTGCTTATCTCATGGTATTAGGAGTGGCTGGTTGGTAATGAAACAGCAGCTTGGTCGGAGCACCTTTCCTAATTGATGTTTGGGGAGTAATTTGGAAACATTCTTAATAATTCACATTCCCACAAAATGAATAGTAGTATGTGCCTTGAGGTGTCACTATGTTTCTCCATGTACTTTGTAACACTGAACATGAATCGGAAGTCAGAATTGGAGGTCGCTGGTCAAATGAGAAAGTAATGTAGACATTAGCGAGATTTTGTCATTTATGGTGGATGTGATCTTTCTTTAGATACATATTATAGACGCACGTCCACCAAAATTGACAAAATCTCTGATATTCCATAAATTACTTTTTTATTTGACCAGCGACCTCCAATTCTGACTTCAGATTTGCGCCCACCGGGAAAATACATGGAAAAGTATAGTGCGACCCCCCAGCACCAGCACTTTTTATTTTTTTGTGGACCTCAGCTATGATTTTTATAATTTGTGTGCGTTTTGAATAAAATGTGTCAAACGACCCCCAATTCTGAATTGAGATTCATGTTCAGCGTAAAAAAGTAATTGGGTAAAGCAGGCACATACCACTTTTTTATTTTGTGGGCCTGTGTTATTCAACAGATAAGGTGCTGAATAAATGAAGCCTTTTTTGAATTTAGATTACATGAGCTAGTAGGTATATCTTAACAATCATTTATTAGAAAAACATGACAGACAAAGCATCTCGTTTCTAAACTACAGATAATTTGGACATTTGTACTTTGATACTTTGTAGTATGTAGATCACCATGAAAAGCAATGATCGATATTTAAGTCTTAAAATATTTTCTCTCAAATAGTAACCGTTGATGTCTACTTATATCATTATAGCAAAATCTCACAGAACAATTTAGTTAAATTTGAATTTTCTGTTTCATTTCTTCTGTGAGAATGTTGTAATACAGTGTTGCCAGATGCTGCGAAGCAGCGAAGTAAGCTTTGTTCTGTAGGTATGCCCTTCCGATACCTTAGTATTGGATAGCAATCCTACGGGTCAGCTCTCGGTGTATAAAGAGAAAACGAATTAGAATGCGAAATCAAACTCAGAAATTTATACAGGGTGTCCGCAAAGTTGGGGTTTTCCTTTTCAGAAACAACTACCCTTGAAATAACAAAGGTAATGTGTAGTGAAACGAGGGCGACCAATTAAAAAAAATAAAGGAAAAAGTACTCACTCTCCAGTTAACGAGAAGGGCTAAGTACGTGTCTGCCCGAAATCATACCGCTCCAACAGAACATGAAATCAGCCATGCGCTACCGAGCAGACGACGGCGGTGGTGCAGACCAAACAAATAAGACGGCGTTGCCGCGTTTTCAGTTTTTAGGTAAACGCACTTCATAGGTATTGTTCGAAGTTATCGCCGTTTGATTAAAAAACACAGGTGCGTGCACGACGTAGCCAAGCATCGGTGCAGGCTTTGAGAATGGAGTCCCTCCCCCGAATGAAAGCACCAGCTTGTTAAATTCTGAGACGAAGTTCGTCAACCGTATGCACTTCAGTTTTGTACACTAAGCGTTTCATTTCTCCTATTCAGAAATAATTCATCCAAAAACGCACTTCGCGTCTAAAATGGGGCGGTGCACCATCGTGCAGAAACCACATTGATTGTCTTACACTTAATGGCACATCTTCTAACAAGGAAGGCAAAATGTTGCGTAAAAAGTCTAGGTATTGCATCCCGTCCAATCGATTTGGGAGAATAAATGGTTCAATGAGCATATCGTTCACCATGCCAGCCCAAACATTCACCGAAAATGTGCCCGACGGACAGCGTGCGGATTTTCCACTGACCAAACATGACTTGCACTTCTCTAGCCACGTCTCTAGTGCTTGTTGAGGGATTCTCGTCTACGCGATTCAGTAGTTCTTCCTCAACTTGCACCCTTCGTGGTTGTCTAGACCTCCCACTGTGCCCACCTTGAAATTCCTCCAAATGGCCCGTATCCCTGACTCTCTGGACCAGGTACACAAATCTGCGGGGCCTTGGATGATGTCGTCTAGGGAAACAATCTACATACACTGGCGATGCCTCTGTAGCATTTTGAAAACCTTCGCCATAAATTAACAACATATCAACGAGTTCATTATTGGTGTATGAGTGTGCCATTATTATTTTTTTTTGAAACGCAATCGATTATACAGGTTCGTTACCTCTACACGCGTGACCGTAACCGTCAGTTGAAGGTTGCATACTGACCTGACACACTAACCCCGACCCAGTTCTGTCGTCGGGTTGCGCTAGTGTCCTAGTACCAGTCGGGGATATCGCGGGTCGCGGCTACAGGACGGTATTCAGATATTTTTGATGTTGCAGAGCCCTTTATCTCGGTTCCCTTAAGACATTGGTGTATATGGTACTAGGAAAAATTGCTTATGTTTTCAAGATCTACACGTCGTGTAAAGGAAAACCCCAACTTTGCGGACACCCTGTATAGAAATAGACGTGAGATAATTTTATACATCAGGACATTATTAGAACAAGGCAGGTTGACTATGTTCTTGTTATGATCTATAAATGTTACCTGAATTTACTTAAAGGATGAATGTAATATGGTTGATTCGAACTCATCTGTTTCTTCCTTTCGGTTTTAATTTCCTCATTGCTTTTGAAGTAGTTCCTTGAGAGAGGACTTTCGACAGATATGCACACCAAATCGAGCCATTTTGCCTTCAGCCATTCACTGTAGGATAGATTTCCCAAGTAATATGGGTCTGGTAATGTACAGGCATGTGAAAGGACTTTTGTGTCTCGTAATTGTGCTTGTGGTATCGGCATTTTTTGACACATCGACTGACAGCTGCTCCTAAACAACCAACTGCCTTATCTAAGCTGCGGATAAACGTCTATACGTAGATGACGTACAATGGTCCAAATCGCGAAAAGAGCGATCAAATACGTTTCATGCCGATTTCTCCCAAAATGTATCTCTGGGAGTGTTTGTAGTTAAGGATTTCATTTCTAGAATTTTATTCTGCATACAAAACTTATAAGCGAATATAAGTTAGTACCCAAGGACTGACCCAGCTGACTCAAACTTCCATCCTGTGGCCTCCCAGAGAAGCCTTGCAGATGGATGGCTGACTTTCTCTCATGCCGCAAGATATCCGTCGTAATTGACGGGTTCTCGTCTTCATTCCATTTATATATATTTCTTTTTTTAATCTTCGATCACATTTTGGTGATATCTAAAAAAAAATGCTTACATTTGATCACTAGACATAACGTCGTTGACTTCTGGAATATACGTAAATATTTCTTTGAGGCAACAGGAATCAGAATCCAAAGAATCCCGATTCATAAACCGCATAATTTTATATTCGTTTTATTTGTCGGGATTACTTGTATTTTGTCGGGACACTGGGCATCATGTGAAATGCCGGGATAATCCCAACGAATCCCTACCATCTGGTAACCCTAGGAGGGAGACAGAGACATTCCGTTAGAATTAAACTAGGCGAGAAATGACCCTTATTTACATGAAATTACTAGTAGCTAATTAGATTAGGAGTCTAAAGAGGCGCAAACGTAAGGGTTCCTAACATATGCACACATAAAAACTCAAGATGAAATGGTTAGTTATATTAGTCTAATCATATTAGACAATTCCCCCAAAATAAATGTAAAGAGGGTATTGAAAATATGGTCGCACGAAAGGGGTACACCAATTTTTGTAGGAAAACTTTTCATTTGACCACAAAGAATGAGAAAACGTGTTTTTGGGATTCAATCGAAAGTATTGGCAGAAACGAAAAAACTCTTCATATAAGATTTTTAGGTATCTATGAGACCTAAAAATGACACCACACATAAGAAGATCCGACTAATAGCAGTCGACTGGTCAACCTGTTTTTGAGAATTTCTAATTATTTATCCTAAGACACCTGCTTTCCGGCCATCACTACTATTTTATTGAGCAATATACAGGGTTAATTGTAAGGGCATTTTATAGCAAAATACACTAGTTTACCTTGCCACTATGAATCGAAAATCATTCCTCTTGAACAAATTGCAGCAATGAAACCAGACTTTACAATTATTTCGCAAACCACAGGTATTTTCGTCTAATATGATTAGACTATATAGATAAAATATTGGAATGAATGAAAAGTTTTTTCTTATCAGAAAAAAGAAGTTATAATGAACCATCCTTTCATTCAGAAACTGTGGTGTGTAGAGACCTGTATGTAGAAAGAATTCTTCAGAAATGGTGGCAATTTTGTAACAAGAAAAAATTTTCTTTAAATCCAAGTCCAACTGACTACAAGTAAGTTGATACCATGGGATACTGATTATCGGATGTGTTTTACGTATTTATTGTTTTTATAAGTTGGTTGAATTTAAGCACACAAAAATATAACTCACACCATCATAGTAATTTATTGTTCTTTGTAACCCTTTGTGTGATACAAGTTAAAAATCGGATCACGTAGAATTAGTAATGTGTTTGGCTCATGGTTTCGTATTGAATTAATAACCGACTAATAGGAGAGACTCCGTTACCGTTAGTCTGCCTGTGGTTGGTCCTACCGCAAGTACTAAATGTTTTTAATTCAAGACATACAAAGGCATGGATGACGTTTCGATATAATGATAGACATGCTACGAGCCCCGTCCCACTTCAGTTGGCGCACTTCAAGATTTGTACCAAAATATGCCCTTATAAACTAAACATGTTAGTTTTATTTATTTCTAAAACAATTTATTTTCTCAAAAACATTTTAGATACACTCTAGTCGTAAAAAAATACATATGTGAGATCACTTAGACCTATGACTAATAGAACATCTGAACAAATAAACAATGTGCGAATAAATGCGCGTAGTTAACAAAGCAACAATTGAAAGATTACCATTGGTAATATTACCTTTATTTTTTATTACGACTATAATTCTTTTTTTAACCAAGTTTTGGCAAAAATTTGGTGTAAAACAATTCCATATTTCTTGAAGCTTTTGTCTCAGTTCGGTAATTGTACGAGCAGGATGTTGTCGTAGAACCTTTTTCATCTCGTGCCACAAAGTTTCAAGAGGTGACACATCTGGACTGCTAGAAACCCATTTCAAAGGCGGTACATTATTTTCTTCTATCCATTTTATAGAATTTTTTGAGGTAAGGCACGCTGCACCATCTTGCTGAAACACAAAATCCGGATGTCAAACATTCTTCCATCACTGGTAAAAGCGATTCTTCTAAAATTGCCAAAAATTTGTTTGTATCCACATTTCCATCAATAAAATGAAGTTTTCCTACTCCTTTTGATGACATACTGCACCAGACCATAATGGATGCTCGAAATTTCACTCAGACAGTCAACATGGAATGCTTAATTTTTTTTGCGAATAACTCTACTACGACTGTCACCAACACAAACTTCGAATCGGGCCTCATCACTCCATTGTATTGCACACCATTGTTGAGGTGTCCATTGTCTATGTTCTTTAGCCCATCTAAGCCGATTTTTCTTTTGCAGTGGAGTTAATAGTGGCTTTTCTTTGGCCTATAAACAGGTTGTGCAACTTTAGGGTTTTTACTTCACTTTTTTTTTTATAAGAAAACTTACCTCGCAAGTGCTAAATCCCAGTGTGTGGGCTTGAGTTGTGGACCTCGAAATTCTCCTTCCAACAGCGTTACTCCACAGAGCACTTAATTTTAAATAATTGGCATGCCTGTTTTTCACGATTATTCTTCTTAATGCTCATCGGTCGGCATTTGTGATATTACTTTTTTTCACATATCGTGGCTTAATATTAACTGAACCAGTTACGTTACATCTTCTAACAATATTTCTCACACTGTACCGCGATAAGTCTAACAAAGCTGCAATTTCTGAGTTTGATTTCCCAGAATTAAAAAATTTAATTATCAGTAACCGAATTTTCTCACTAATAACCTTTCCTCTATCCATTTTGAAAACTACCCAAAACTATTTTAAACGTATTCTGACAGCTGTGATTAATAAAAACAATTGTCATGGCTTCTATTTTTCACAGCCACCTATGCGTTATAGACTTATTTTGCATTGAAATGAAAATAGGTTGATATACTGTAATTGCAACACGTGTTATTTTTATGCTGCAAATTTGATTAGGGAGTGATACAATTGATGTTTTCTACTATATATTATCAAAATATTCATTGTTAATATTTCAAACCTATAACACCCTGCTACATTTTTATTATTTGTGTGTGATAAGAAAAAAACTAAGATTTCAATAGTTGGGCCAACTTAAGTGGGAAGGGGCTCGTAGCATGTCTGTTGTAAATTCAAGACGCATTAAAATGTTTACGTTCGATCTTCTTTCGAGTGGGAATAGCTGTACATCACGCGAATCAGATGAAGCATCCAACAACTTCTTGGGAATATATTTTTTCTGTGGGATGCTCACGCTAAGCTTTTGGTATCGAGACGATGATCTCAGAAGCATAATCTGTTACATCTCTGCTTTATTTCTTACTTACTTCTCGGGTATAGCGATATTGCTTTCCGTATTTTAAATTCATTGAAGAAATTCTAGATCTTACAAGCCATTGCCATTAGGAATTTATAGTTTCGTTTTAGAACTCTGCAGATAAAGCTTGTATTTAATTTTTTTAAACGCGCGGTGTATCGAAAAGATAATCACACAGTATGTTAACACTAGTGTTACACAAGTTGAGCTTCATGTAGAGTGTGAATGGCAACAATGGCTAGGTACTGTTCACCTAGTGGGTTCTGAGTTGAGAGGTTCTCTGAAAATCGCAGACTAATAGTAGTCAGTGTTGCCAGTTATAGTCATTTTCAATCTGAAGAATATCACAGTTTCGTCACATATGGAGAAAAAGTGACCTTCTTGTGGGACAGACATTAACGGTCCAACGCGGCTACCTGATATACTGTAATGTTTATGAAAATCTGTTCGTAGCGTGGCGAGAAAATGGAAAAGTTGCGATAATGTTGAAATTCTCATTTTTGGCGAAACTCCAAATCTTGAGCACGTTTGCAGTCGGAATCGTTAGAACTAGGACCCTGAAATTTTACAGAGCATCATGCCTCCATAGGTACTATACAGGAAAAAATGAAAAAAATGTGTAGGCTGCTTTTTTTAAATCTGTTCCAGAAAGAAAGCCTTTTTATCAAAAACTTGATTAGCTACGACCCTTTATATTTAACATGTAATTTCAATATTTGTGGCACAATCCTCCTTCGTCAGACGTGGAAGAAGTTGGTGTATTGTGTTGTCTATACCAGTAGCCATAGGATTACTTCTCACCAGATCACTTATTTCAACTCTTGATTAAAGGGTATATCCCAACTTAGCGGATCGTATTTCACATTAAATCCTGCTTTAAATTCGAAACAGATTTATGGCAGTACTTACGGATCAACCCTTTTCCTTAATTAGCACTGGACTAGGTTTGAAGGGTGACTTAACTATATCGACCCGTTATTTATTACGCTTGAAGCTCACCGACAGAATTTGATTTGCACCATGATAGTCTAGGAAAACAGTTAACAAAACAATATCACACTGCACTGTAAAAACTAGTAATACAGCTTTCGTCTGCCTGACCACACAGCAAGCCATGAATAGCTGTATCATGCTATTTTTGATTTTTTCATTTGGCAAGTCATCAGAGTCATCTAGGCATGGTCTCAGGTAGGACAAAAACAAAGGCTGAGCAGCTCTAGCCAGCAAATATCCTATTCAAAATCTGAATCCCCCCAGAGCAGGTAATTTCAAATTCACCACATGGAACCGCCCCAAAAATATTTTCTATTTCTGCCCCTAATCCAGGCTGTAATGAGT